TGCACTTCTTTTAGCTCTGAAAGAAATAAACTTTTGCTTATTTTGGAAGCAAGGCAGCAGTCTACTAGAGCTTCATTAATTGAAATCAGGCCTTTTGTTTCCATTTGGCTCAAGTTTGAGATCCAAACTCCACATTATATCCTCAAACTTTACTCTGCCCCAAACATGTGTAAGTCAGAGGTGTGATGTAGCCCTTCCCCTAACCATCCTCTTCTCTGTAGCCTCAAATCCCAGTCCCACTGCTTCTTGCCCAGCTGGAGATGCTTCTGGAGTCGAATCTCAGCTTGGGGAAAATATCACTTCAAGGGAAAACTTTAGGCTTTTAAGGGATTGATTTTTCAATAACTATTTTAAACCAGGCACCAAAAGGGATTGCAGTACAAAGGGGCAACTAACCTATAGTAAATAATCTCATACTTAGGTTTCCCATGCCCATGTCATAGAACACAAGTGCACAGCCTTCAGGTAGTTTAAAAACAAGGAAAAGTCACAGCATAATGCAGTTGGAAGAAACTTGCACAAGTCCTGCATTACACAAGTTAGGGGTTATGCCATAGTCATTTCACCACAGCAGTACCAGTACAAGCAAGTGTGATTTGCAGAGGAAAAATAAACAGGAAGAAGTCATTCCCTGGCAACAAAATATTGCAGCTTTGACTTCTGGGAAAGTGTGATAATATGCACAACAATAAGGCAACCATGTTGTGCACAGCCAATAAGAAGCAGAGGCGCTTCTCCGAGCTAATGAAAGCAGTGAAAATTACTGTAGCAAGGCAAAAGCAGGCATTATTCATTAATGTCGTCATCTTGGCTTCAAGTGGTTTAAACTGGTTGTGCTGCAGGTTCGATTGCTTAATGACGTAAGGTGTTGTCTCATTTTTAGTCCCTGTCTACGTGCGAGTCTGACGAGCAGTGCTTCTGAGGGCACAGCTAGATGACACGGTGTCCCCGGGGGAAGCTTGCAGCCATTTGACCACCAGAATCCTCTTGCTTCAAAAACATTGTGGGGGCCCAGTCCTGCTGGGGAACCACATGGGGAGGGGAGAAGAGCCCCTCTTCCCCTTGCATCTGAGCAGGATCTGGCCCTCCATGCCATTTTTAAAGCAAGAGAATTCCGGCAGTAAAGAGGGTGCAGCTTTCCCAGGTTGTCCCTAGGAATGCCACATAATCTGGTCGTGCCCTCACTCTGCCTCTCCAGAGGCTGCTTCCACCTAGTGGTGATCCTCTCTTGTAGCTGCTGTGACTGAAGAGGTATTTGCAACAGCGAAACAGACCATCCACACAAGTCTCCCCCACACTTTCCTTGTCTCATCCCCCAGTAGCTACCATTTGCTTTGTGCGAGGGCTATTATTTGAAGGGGTTTTTTTTAAGTAGCAGTTAGATTGCTAGTGTTATAACGATGTGCTAGTTCCCAACTTGAATTTTTAAAAAGTAAAACTCTTAACTCTTTTTGTTGAAGAGTTACAAGGGAAAACATGGATTCTGCACTTTTTTTCTTTATAATTTTGCAACGGGGCTAGATTTGAAAAATATAAGCTGGGCCCTAGTACATTGCTGTAACATTGCTATAGTGTTGTAATCAGTTACTGGTTTCTGGTTTTGTTTTTTTAAAGAGCTCTACAGTGGCCATGGGGGTTGAAGTAAGGAAAATCCCACTGATGGGGCAGGGTTATGGTCCCACCCCCTCAGACACGCAGCTCTCTCTCTTTTAATTGCTGCCGGCTGGGTTGGTATTTTAGTCAAAGCACTAAGAAGACTGGGATTCACAAGGGAAAACTGTAACCAGTCTGGATAATTTCAGTGCAAACAGGATCAGAGCTAATAAGAAGTCCCAGTCAGGAGGTTATATTCCCTGCATTGTACTGGAAGAGAAGGTCTCTTGTTTACCCCTGTTGGGTGTGTGTGAGAAAGAAAGATGTCAAACTTACCTTGCTGGTTCCTCCCCCTTCCTGGGGGACCAACACGGCTACCCACCTGGAAGTGTCTTCATATGTTTTTAGATTCAGGTGGGTAGTTGTGTTGGTCTGAAGCAGCAGAACAAAGTGAGACCAGTGGCACCTTTAAGACAAACAAGGCAGTCCCTCTTTTCCAAGGTTCAAACTGTTTGGTTTCTAAAACAAGTTGCACTGGCCCTGGTCACATGGGAGGTTTTGCCCTGCAAAAGGGACGGATCGGGGGCGCATCAAATGGGCGCGATCACATTGCAACATCTGGGAAGCGGAGCACACCCGTCCCCGATCCGTCCTTTCCGGGGGGAAACGTGCAGGAAAAAAGAACCTAGAAAAGAGTACTACCTACCTGAAACTCCGCAGCAAGGACGGCCATGGGATCACTGGCGCACCCGTCTCCCACAGCATTTGAGGTTCCCAGTCAAACTGCGCATGCGCACGCATGCGCAGCCGACTGTCTCGCTCTTCGTTCTGTAGCTTCCCCCCTCCCCAAGCATCTGATTGTGCCGGGGAGCAACTGAGCGGCAGCTCGGGGGATCTGTCTGATCCCGCCGCCACACGTCTATTTTGATGCGGCTCAGAGAACCCGCGCTTTGGCCATGCCTTTCTCTCCCCCCCCCCCACGTTTGACCGGGGCCACTTTATGTATGGGCTATGCCCCTTTGTAAGCCGCCCTGAGCCCGTTCGCGGGGAGGGCGGGGTAAAAATGTTTAAATAAATAAATAAATAAATAAAAACAGAACAACATTTCCATGTGGAAATTGCCAGGCTCTCAGATGGAGGCTTTCCCCAGCCCTGTAAAGTGGTGATGGCCTGTGTCAATGCTGGGCGATACTGCCCAACCCCTGAAGGTTGGCTTCTGCATAATGAGGCTGATGTGTTGGCCTCAGAAGTCAAGCACATGTTGGGGACAGTACGTGAATAGATGTAGCTTGCATCACAGTACCGTATAGCTATAGTGACTGTCCTTGTCTTTGATAAAGAAATTCCCAGCTTTAATATTTATTCCCTCAACTGCACTAAGAATTCCTTTCAAAAAATTATAGGAGAGGTTGACTAGTCATGCTGTAGCAGTTGGATGTTCATATCGGTCTTATGTCTAATGTTCCTCACTAACAGAATAAAGCACTTGTTTACATGAATTGGAAAGAACAGTCGATGAATTCAAGATGTTTGTGGGTGTGTTTTTTCCAACTTTTCTGTCAGCTTCTGGAATTAGTGAGCCAATATTGATGCTACCAGATGGCTCATTGCAGTTTCAAGGAGCTGACCCCTTGTCTTTTATGAGTAACTGCTGAACTCTAAGTTCAAAGGAGCAAAGTGCTCTGAATTGCCTCTCAACACAATGCAAAGCTGAAGACTAATATTTAGCTTTCTTCCAATGTATAACTGCAAAAGGTCAGTGATTGAATTACTCTTCAGTACAGCATAGACTTCCTTTTTTGCTCAGATTGCAGGAGCTGAATGCAATGGCTTGACTGGTGATGAAGAACCCCTTAAATGCTTCAGTTTGTTTAACTGTGGTTATTCTGAGTGCTTATAGAAATAGTTCGAACTAGAAATTCCAACAAAGAGGCTTGACATCCAGCTTCCTTGGAAATCTAACAGTGTTATGGGGGGCAGAGGTGGGAGAGAGACTAAAAGACATCTTGGTGTAGCTGAGTAAGACTTCTAGTAGTTGCCTGAGACCTTGGTGCCTTCATAGTTCTTTGCCCTATGCTATGATACCAAAAATCAAAATGGATTGTGAAAAATACGCCATGAAAAACAATTCAGAGTAAACAAAGGGATGCACATTTGTGTAATTTGTGCAGGTCATATACTTCAGGTATTTTTTATTTTATTGGATTTGTATTCTGCCCATTTGTGTAATTTGCACCTTTTAATTTTTTTATTTCATTGGATTTCTATCTCCCCCCCCCCTTCCCTGTATAGCAGGCTCAGGGCAGGTTCCATCAAAATACCATTTGCAATATACAAACAAAAACAGTTTAAAAACCTTAAATAGAATACGATTACATTCTAATAATTCTGATCCAAGCCTCAACAGATGAGGTCTCGTTCAGATTTGGGTTACTAGATGGTAATACAGATCTGACCCGCTAAGGGGGAGGCCCACGAGAGAGGAGGGACACTCGATGCCTTCACGAAAAGCCTGGCGGAAGAGCTCCATCTTACAGGCCCTGTGGATGCCGAACTTGAACTTTGGAGTCATTTTCACTTCTCATTTATATCCTGCCTTTGCAACCCACAAGACAGGAGCTGCTTTACACCATGATCCTTCTTGAAAGGGTTTAGTTTCTCTTTAGTGCTTTTCCAGAGCATCTGACTCTCCCCTACCCCATTCTCACTGCCAATGTGTTACATCCCAGCCTCTTCCACATCCTTGCCCTGCCCCTTTACTGTGGATTAGAATATCTATGGGCAAGAGCCATGGTACTTCTGAACAATGCCCAGCTCACTGCTGGCACTAAATAAATGTTGCATACTCGTGGTCCGTGTGCCCAGATCCTGCAGTGGCCCTGTGGGTCCCACTCTAAAAATAGGGTAGATACATCACCCAGGTGACTTCTGCAGGTGGTAAGTTGAATAACTTGACAAGAGAGGTATAACAATGTCCATAATAATTCAATTGCATAATTCAATAATTTGATACAAATGTGTGTTTGTTTCTGTTTCCTTGCTGCTGTGTGCAGGGTTTTTTCTCCCCTGCACAGAAAAAAATCATTTTTACACACAAGCATGTTTTGGGTCTGAACTTAACCATTTTCATGCACATGGTCTTAATCGTTTTCTTAGAAAGTACCTTTAAAAACAGCCTAATAAGGGGGAAATTATACTGTCGCTGAAAGTTGTTTATTCACACCTTTTCATTTTGTACCATAAATTAGATCAGATATCTGATTAAGGAGTCATTGTATATTCTTTTACTATTTATTGTTTTAACTGAAGATTATTCCTAATTCTTTTTTCCAATTGTGTACAATACCTGTTTTATAAAAATCTGTAGTATAGAAAGCTTAATTCTCAAATGTCTTTTTGTCATACAGCTTTGGGACTTTTGTAGCCATTGGAGTCACACTCTTTGTGCTGTTTGTTGTTACTGTTATTCTCTGCTTCACCTGCTCCTGTTGCTGCTTGTATAAAGCATGCCGAGGGACACCAGCACGGCGTAAGTATTGTCCGATGCTTCCCTTTTGCTTTGCCTAATAAAAAGAAGACAGCCATTGTCAAAGTAGAAGAGTAAAGGAAATTTGCACGACAAGGAAACTTCTTAGTAATGCATGATTACTAAGGTGCAGAATGTATTTTGTCAAATCCTGTGCAGGCCTGGTCTACCCAGACTGCGCAATGAGGTGATAGAAAAGGCTATAACCTTTCAGACTGCAGGTGTGAGGAGTCATATTTTGAATGGTGTCTCGTGTAACAACTTCCTGGAAATAACCAGTTAGCCCTTCAGAGAAAGAGGTTCTGTCCTAAGCCTTGGCATTCTGTGCTAATTTTTACTAACAGGGAATTATTAATGTAAGAGAACTCAGAAAAATATATTCCCTTATCTGCAGTCCAAAGTGGTACAGTTCATTCTACCCCTTGGGGCCAAACATCATTTCAGGGCCCAGTATATTTTTGTAGCATGCTTACCTTCACCATGATCCCATAGATTTGTAGCCCAGCCCAGACCTCCATAAAAGGTACCCAGGAGGAATAGGATGAATCTGCTGGGAGAGGAGGCTGAATAGCAACTTTCAGTTTGCCTCCACCATGCATTACTAAGAAGTTGCCTGTTGCTCAGCAGTGCTCTATATTTATAAATAGTAAACATGAAAAATACTTCTAAACTTGTTCAGTGTTAACTGATGAGAATCCTGTGTTTCATGTTAGAAAGGCAGGAGATGGGATAGCAGGCAGCTGGCCTAGGAGTTATAAGTCAGTTAAGAAGTGGGTCCCACTTTAAAGAGTTTAAAAGCTACTGCTGTACAGAAGAGAGGGAGATCTGTGTGTGGGTATGTTTGGAAAAAAAATATGACTTTTTTTTTTTTTGCTGCTACACACTTTAAAAAGTTGTTACGGAAAATTGTATTTTTTTCATTTTTGTCCTAAAGACAAAAATAAATGAATGGTAGTACTGCGTGATCTTCTCTACTAAAAAGGATGTAGAGTGGATAATAAAACCATGTTTTTAATTTCTTTAAATCAGTTTCAGGTTTTGATATACATTATTGTTGCAAAGTAAAATATTGCAAACTTTTGATTTATTATCATTTATTATTGCTTAAAAACAGCTTCTTTATATGAAAAAATCAATACATGCATGCCAAATCTTTCAATTTCTAAAAACTGGATTTATGGTCTTTTTTTTTTTTATTGAGATGAAGAGCCATTGAGAAGAGAAATTGCCAAGGCCCAGGATCACAAATATGGTAGAACAGGTCATATAGCCTGTGTGACACTATGGACTTACCCCTGGTGGTGGGTTATCACAGTCCCATTAGCTCCAGGAGGTATAATCCTGTATATGACTAAGGATTATCCATTGGCCCCCCCCCCCCCCGGTTGACCTTGTGTCCTTTTATGCTCTTCAACTATCTGAACTCAACTCTGCAGCTTGCTTAGTTCTCTAATAATAAATATCTACTTGCTATAAAACATCACGGATATGTTCTTTTTATCTACTGAATATAAATTACAACCAGGGGTCATTTCGTAGAAAAAGAGGTGCAGGAGCTCATTAGCATAACTCATTACCATAACCTATTTGCATATGCCACACCCCCTGGCATCACTAGAAGTGTGTCTGAAGGCAACACCCACTGCTCAGGCTCCACTGGACTGTTTTGGATTGCTAGCTACTCGGGGGGGGGGGGGGGGACGTGCAGATCTGTCCTCACAGAGGAGGGAGAACTTGTACCTGAATAAAACTTGGTCTTAAAGGTGCCACTGGACTGTTTTGGACCGGAGGGGGGTGGCTCTGCAGCTTACCTGCTGCTTCTTGCTCTGACTGAGGGCTGCTGGGAGCAGGGGGTAGGGCTTGTTGCATGTGCCCACCCCCTGGGCTCTTTACTGCCAGAGCTCCGCTCCTGTGCACTCCTGCAGGAAATGACCCCTGATTACAACTATTAGCTCTTGCTTCTGACATACATGAGAGTAAACTAATCAGTGTAAAAAGACTGAGATCAGGAATTCCAAGTATCTGGGAAAGCCAGTAGCTAGGTTTAAATGAAGGATCAGCTTGGAAGATATGTGACAAGGGCTTGGTGCGAAGGGAGATTAACTCTGCAGGGGACAGTCTATTTTCATTGATTTCATTGGATCTGGACTGGAGTAACTCTGCCTAGGATTGCACAATAAGCCTCTTTGCTTCCCCACCACAGGCATCTACTGGGGGCAACTCAGAAATGAAATTTCTGGTGCTGAGTTGCTAAAAAGTCAAGTGGGGGGGTTGTTTAGAAAGTTCTTCCTTCATAAATTGCTGACCTTCCTCACTCTCCTTGTGTTTTTGCAGCTATTGTAACAACTACTACAGCCACTACTGTGGTACAAGTGCCATATCCCCAGCAGCCTGGTATGGCACCAGGCTACCATGGAGGTTACCATGCAGGATATAGTCCTGTGCCAGTGCAGCCACAGCCTGGAGTGCCAGCAGCACCCTACCCGACACAATATCCTCCACCTTACCCCATGCAGCCTGCAGGACCACCAGCCTACCATGAAACAATGGCAGGTAAGGGGACCAAATCTGTTCAAGGAAAGCATCTGAAACCATTTATTTTCCTTCCTTAAATAGCCTGGCAACCAAAAAAGAAGCACATTGTTATTAATTGTAGTGGTTTACTTACAGAAACTCTCCAGCCACACATAGTGGCCTTCCTTTAACTGTTCAAAGCACATGTTCAGCCCAATTTTTAAAAAAAAGATTATTCATGTTTGCTTTTTTAATTAAAAAGCAATTTAATCAATCCCATATTAATTATCTCTATGTCTCTCTACAAATTTGCTTGCATTCTTGGGTCCTTTTGCACTTCTGAGGAATTATAGTTGTAGTTCCATGGTGGTGTTTAAGGTACTACTTACTATTGTGATTAAAATTGCACAGTGCCCCATCAAGCTTCCCTAGGCTTGCCAAGTCCCCCTGGGGGGGGCGGGGAAAACCCCGCCCCAGAGGCCCGTTCCCCACCGCTGGTGGATCGGGCCCCAGGGGGAACCCCACCCCCAAAGCATGGGACATGCCCGGCGTCAGCACGTCACCCGGAAGTGACGCAGCCACGCTGGGGGCGGGGCCGCGGTCATCCGAGGGAAAACTATGTTTTTCCCTCGGATGACCGCAGCCCCGCCCCTGGCGCGCCTGATGCACCCGCGTCATGTCCGGGTGATGTGATTGCGGTGCACACGCATGCACTCCTGGAGGAAGCCGGGAGTCCCCCGCTGCAGCTTAATTACGACTTGGCAACCCTAAGTTTCCCCTCCCCCGTTGTTAGTAAAATTAGCCCTTTATTTAAACATTTCCAGGTGTCTCTGTGATTTGCTGTGCTTTTAATTGATCTGGAACTTGTGCTATTTTTCACTGTTGCATACAACAGAACTGGAAATAATCTAATTTCTGAAAGTATTTTGGCAGTTATTTACAAGTTACTTTGAATCCAGTCATTGTGGCAGTTGGTTACAACTGAATACGTGCGTCTTTATAAGGGATACAGTTTGTTTGGAAGATATTGCAGATCAAGGTGGAAATGCTTCTTGAGTTCTTAAATAAGTTTATTCTCTCTGAAGGGGTCAAACTAGACAATGAAGAAGATCATCCATCACTTGGATTTTTTTTTCTTTCAGCCATTACCGCTACATGGGGTCCCAATTAGGATCCAGATCATTTAGGGAGAGGTGGTTTTAACCTGCCCAACCCTGTCCAGTTTCATTTCTTGAAACCCTTTGTTGATGTTAGTCTTTAAAAGGGAGAGAGAGAGAAAAGATGGGTGCCAGCCTTTCTTTCCCTTTTTCTTTAAAGGTCTTTCATAGTATTGGGGGTTGTGAGATCCAATGAGTAAAATTGGACAGAGCTGGGAAAATTAAATTCTGTCTGCTTTATCATCTGGCCCAAGTATGAATTGGGCCCTTGCACAGTTGCAGTTGTGCTTAAAAAGAATCTGGGAAGGTCTGTCAGGGATCCCCCAGTGTTTTATCTGTTTTAAGAGTGAAAGTACAAGTCTTGAAGGAAAACTTTAGGAAATTGTAAGATAGTATATTGTAAAGTAAGCCCAGAGGGAGACAAACAGACACAGATATAAAATTGTTGATATGTCTTGTTTTGCTACAGGTGCTGGAGCTTCCCATCCAACAGTTCAGCCACCCTATAACCCAGCATATATGGACCCTCCAAAGCCTTCTTATTAAATGGACCACCTGCTGTATGTCTGCACAGAGTTCTTCAAACTGAATCCGTCTTGAGGCACACGCCTTAAAATACTGTTCTGTTACCGGGGGGGGGGGGGGGGGGGGGGGCAATCACCAAGAAGTGATAGTGTTTAAAAAATGCCTTGAGTACCACAAAAGGGAAAAATATATCCTCTGCTTGGATTTACTTTCCTACACCTCATACAGATAAAATAGATATTTGGATTTAGAAAGAGATGAAAGCAAGAACAATTCCAAATGGAAATCACAGACCTGTCCTGCAATCCTTTGGGGTTCAGTAAAAGGGAATGTTCATGATAAGACAAGTAGCAGTCATAATTCTGCCAGTCAGAGAAAATGAGAGGTATGCCTCTGCAAAATCTGTGTAAAGCTTGATATTGTGGAGTGTGTGGGGTTTTTGTTTGTTTGTTTGTTTGTTTTGGACTACTGTCATAAAGTAACTTCAAATGGAGATACTGTTTGGTAGAATGTTTAGCCTTTAGCAAGGAGTACTGCAAATTTGATGTGTAATTTGTCTGTATTTTTGTCCTGTGTGCAGCTTTTATGTGGCTGTTCACTTCACTGTAAGCTTTTCTGAATTTTAATGTCAACCCAACCATGTGAATTTTCTTGTTCTCGGTGCTTCACTTTAAAAGACTAGCATTTCATTTTTTATTCGTGGAAGAAATTTTTATCTTTCTGTTTAAAGTATACCAGCAAAATGTCTTAGCTTGAATGACATTGAAAAAAGAACTGTTAAATGAAAACATTGTTTAGGGTTTTGTAATTTCAGGATATAACTATGTTGTACACAAAATAATTTTTCCAACCATTTGAGAAGAATCAGTTTTTCATCTGAGAATCAGTTCCGTGGTTTTCCCAATCTTGCCTCTTGGTTTGGATTTTGTAACCAAGAAAAATTAGTATATCTGTCTTGCACCATTGGAACATAAGAGCTACCTTGCACATGCTTTGTGCTCTATAGCATGTATGCTAACAGAGATGCTTCAGATGGAAGATAACCTTCAAATTAAATGCTATAATCTGAAGAAGAATAAGTCTAAGAAATAATATTTTTAAAAACACTAAAATTTGTGTTTTACACAACAATGTACCTACGTACAGATAAAGAAAAGAAACTGGCCACATGGAATCAGGGACTTGATGACAGATAGGCGAAAAGGCATTTCTTGTTTGCTTATTAAATGTTGAGACCAAATTATTGAGTAAATTACTGAAAGTATGTCAGAGAGATTATGATTTTTAAAGTTAAATGTGGACTTGGAAAGCTACTTAAAACTGGGAAATGGCCATGCATACTATTTAAAAAATCAGCGATGTTTAATGGGTAGAACACTTTTGAAGTATATCTTCTTGCTTTCCATGGTTGATGAGGTATCCAAATTGTTTTACACCTTTTGCTTGTATAGTTGGCTAAAGTTTTCATTATTCTAAAGAGCTTTTTTAAAAACTGAGATAACAGAAGGTTGTTTTCTGCTGTTGACACTCAAAAGAAGTATGGAGCTGTGTTCTTATTTGCTTTTATATGTCAGTCTCTCAAAAGCTGTAGTAGTCATTTTTTACCTTCAAGATACAATTTAGGGCATAAAGCAACAGTCTTATCTTTCCCTTTGCCTTTCATTTGTTGTACTGATATGTACAGTCTCTTACAATTTAGGGTACATAAACTAAGAGTGTTATCCTTGAGAATGAAAGAAATGTTAAAATAATTGTCCTCCATAATTTATGGCACACATCGTTCTTGTTCCTGTATTATTCCATGTGTCAGGTACCAAGGACAACAAAAACTGGTAATAGACCTGTTTGGTGGAGGGTGGGGGTGTAAAGACAAAGAAACAAGTCTTTGTACATTCCTATTTTAGGACCTGTTATTTTTTTATTGCCAATTGCTTCAAGAGTTACAAAGCTGTAATGCCTGCATTTCTCTGTCTGTGCACAAAACTATTTGAGGAGAGTCACTGTAACCTTTGTACCCCTTTGATGGTCATCGTTCTTCCTGTTGCTTTGCTATGACATAAGCCACATGCAAAATGACTATTTTTGATGTAAGCATAGCCCTGTGTGTAAATGCACCCCTTTGCCTTATGTATTTTGTCCACATAATAGTAATGGAGAATAAGAAAGATTTCCACTTACGAATAATGTGAGGTACATTTCCAGCACAGTGAGTTTAGTGTGAAATGAAAAAGGGTGTGGCGGGGAGCCTTGATACTGGTAAGAATTCTGGTAACAGAGAGATGTTTATAGATTTCCATGTATTATAAAGAGAAGTCTTCTTAAGGTGTATTTTTCTTTCTTAATGTATAAGTAACAGCTCATACATTACTGCTGAAAATATGTTCCTCGATCCTCTTGAAGACATCAAAGTGATGGGAGCTAGTACAATGCAGCTAGCGTGCTGTCTGGTTGTAACTCTGTTGCTGATCCTACATTACATCACAAACAAGAGCTCCTCTTGCTGTGAGACATATCACTGATACCAAACCATGGGAGCACCTATAACAAAGATCCCTCCCTGCCTGCTTTCTCCCTCACTCTCTGTGCTTTGTGGATTCTTTCTTTTTAACTGTGGCATTGACTTTCGTTATTTAGCCATCACTGTGAGCCATGCAGTCCAGTTGACATTCAAATGGTATGAAAGTATAACTAAGAACAGAATTTGTCCATGACAGTATTTGCTTATATTTCTCTGTTGGTAATGCCACAGTTAGTTACTCACACAAGTCCTATTAAAATCAGTGGCAATTGCATGTAAGTTTGAAGGACTGTGGCCAATGAGAGTCTCTTTACTCAGTGCCGTAAATCTGTCAATTTAATTACTATTTTTTGAACTAAAGCAGAAAGGAAATGGAATTTGAGCTTTAAATTATACAGTTTTTACTTCTGTTATTTGAAAGTGCCTTTTCAGAATTTTCTAGCAAGTAAGTCAGTGTTCTGTATCAATGAACCTTACAAATCTTGTTGATATTCTTGGTTTTTATAATTCTGCTTTGTTCTTGGTTTGTTTCTCATAGTAAAGAAGACCTATTCAGAGGTTTGGCATGACGTTCACAACTCTTTGTAATAATGTAGACCATTGAAATACACTTGTTTTGAACACTCTGTTATTATACAGTTATGGCATTTAGACTCTTCCATGTAAAAGACATTCACTCAATACAAATAAATTTGGTTGCAATTAATTTTTTTAAATTGTTATGGTTACTTAGTCTCACAAACTTCAATGGGACTTAAATGTGATTTTTCCTTGTTGGTCTCTTTGTCTTGACCAGTGGATGGAGACCTTGGAGAATGATGTCTTTTAGCATGAATATGGCATAGAACACTGAAAAGTTGTCCATGGCTGCAGTCAGGTGTGCTGTTTGATCCACTGTTGCCCTGTCTCTAATTGAGCCAGGTTATTTTGTAACAGAATCCTGATCAGACTCACCCCTTTCAGCACTCTTCAAAGCGCTTTTACTCTGTCCTTGAGTTATCAGACGGCAGCAGCCAGGGAGTCAGCCCGTCAGCCATTATTTTTTATTATTTTTTGCATGCCCAGAAGCACTGATGAGCCTGCTGGGATATATAGTTCATGCGGCTGTTGGCCATTTTTCTAAAAAGTTTGTCCTCTGAGCATGTGCACAAGCGCTGATGGGTCTGCAGGGATCACTGCCGTCCTCCCTCTCTAAACTTTTCAAGGAACCCCTCCCCCAAAGCACAGAAAAAGGCTGAAGTACAGAGGCGTCTTCCTTTGAAAGTTTTTATAAGAAAAAAAGTTTTGAGCAGTCCCTGCGGGAAGGAGGAGAGAGAGAGAGAGGTGCAAATATGCAGTTATGTGCACATCGTTTACTAGTAAAATAAAATGACGGCTGGAAAACAAGAGACCAGTCAGACCTGCCTGATGGCTTGGGTGCACAACAGAGCGATCAGACAACAGGAAATCCCTTTTGGAATCAGTTCAGACCAATAGGATTGGACTTTCACAAGTGTCAAAGAAACACACAGTAAAGGGGGGCAAATGTGACTCGTGACTGGAGCATTATGGACAAATGTTGCTGTCTGATTGTGCATTTTAAATCCATAAGGGAACAGCAATGGCAACGGATCAAACTGCATGCCTGATCACAGCCATATTCTTCCTTCTACAAAGGCTACTAGAAGATTGCAAAATATGTCCAATGTAATGGAAACACTGATTTGGTACTCTTTAAACAAATTTTCTGTGCTGTAGTTGATAGTATGAAATATGGTAAGATGGTATGAAATCTTACTAGCAGATAATCTTCACCCTTTAAATTTCAAGAAGACATTATTACTTGCCTTGCTCCCTGAAAGGCCTTACTAGAGATGCCAGGGATTGAGCCTGGGACCTTATTCATGAAAAATGTAAAAATGATAATAGCATTTATATAGCACTTTTAGTGCTCAGGCATGGGACACAGTCTTGTAACAACAAAAGCCCTGAAAGGTAATCCCCATTCTGCAAGTGAGGATCTTGGTTCAATTCTTACCTATGCTATAAATTGACAGGGGGAAAGGGGATTACAGTCATGGTACTAGCTATGCTCCTGCCAACCTAGCAGTTCGAAAGCAAGAAATTGCAAGTAGATAAATAGGTACCACTTCGGGGGGAAGGTAACAGCGTTCCGTGCACCTTGGTGTTTAGTAACGCCAGGCACATGACCACAGAAACGTCTTCGGACAGCGCTGGCTCTTCGGCTTTGAAACGGAGATGAGCACCGCAACCCTAGAGTTGGACTCGACTGGCTTTCGAGCAAGGGAACCTTTACCTTTACTAGTTATGCACTTTGAACTACCCCTTCCCCCATGCTCCTTTGTGTACTGTGACTGGGCTGGAAGCTGGCTTGAGGCCTCTGTTACGTTAGAAAAAACCTTCCTTCTGACATTAAAAAAAAACTTGTAAGCTACACTGGACCCTTTTCATGCTACTAAATGATATTTGCTACTTCATTAACAGCTGCTTAGCTCTTTAAGTTCTCCAGAAAATAATGATAGAAGTTTGTACAAGTAATTGAGAAGTTCCTCAGTGATACTGAGCCCTTGAGCAAGACTAGGAATTACAGGAGCT